GGGGGTTTTTAATTTCACCCCAAAAGTAACGGTTAATTCCCGGGGACCTTTTTTTTCCCAAAAAATTTTCAAAAAAAAAAAAAAAAAAAAAAAAAAAAAAAAAAAAAAAAAAAAATCATTTCCAACCTGACGCACGCAATATATGCTACGCAATACGTCGTAGGTAAGATTACAATTTTAACTTATAAATTTCACGGCTCGTAGTAGGATACATCGTGAGTTGAATTCCCGTGTCATCCGGAGTCGAGATAATCGAGGACGAAGTCGCGCACCAACGATCTAACAAAAATCAGAACACATAACGAAGCTGTCGCGCGCTCTATTAAATCGAGCGTCGATGTGGTAAAGTAGAGAAAATTTATGCACAAGTAAGCACTTTTTGCCCCAAACGACGCAACCGAAGTTATAAACAACGTACCTCGCTGTTCGGCTTGCTTGTCCGTCACTGAGCGCCGGCTTGTACCACGGCCAGGGTGTTCTTCGGCTCCTTGAAGCGTACGTGAATTCCAAGTCGTCGACGGAAACGCCGCGTCGACCCGCCAAACGAAGTGGATCGACACTGGCGACTTTGACGTCCCACGGGTCGACTATGGAGAGCAGCACCTTCTGCGTCCAATGGAAATTAATGGGATGTGCGAGTGAGCGGAGGCGGAGCAGCGGCTCGCTCGTTCGACTTCCCGATACCACCGAGCCGCTGCTCGTCCCGAACAATGCCACGAACGATCTCACCAGCATTTATCGATATTGAAACGCGTTAGCGCCAGTTATCATTCATTCGTACTTGATTTTTGGTCTTTCTCACGTTTCCCTCCCTTTTGCCGACACTCGTGAAGATCGCTTATCGTCATGGCATAACGAAATAAGAGCCAATGTTTTTTTTTTCCATTTTCAAACTGTACTTGAAAATTATAATATTAAATTCTAGTTGGGATATACCAATCGTTAATTTCTTCTTCTTCTTTTTTTCTTTTACACGTACTCTATTATTTAAGCCTCTTGCGTGTGGAAAAACATTGTTTGTAGAAAATACTTGAAATATATATTCAAGGATAAATTAGCGGTATGCACAAGTGAGTACTCCATATAATTATCGTTAAGCACGCTTTGGTAATTATGAATAATCTAATTAGACAATTTATACAAATAATAATTATGGAGTATATTACTTATAGATTCGATAAAGATTAAATATTTTATTGAAAATAAAAATTACTAAGTTAAAAGGTCATTCTTATCTGAAAAATAGATTCGTTTATTATGTGGAATTTAACTAATAAACTTGGCGATTTATACATACATTTATATATTTTAAGTAAATTAATATTTTGTTTAAATATTTGTTTAAATCACTACTTTTCTTATATCTTATTAAGCTATTTATCGATAAAATTTTTCATTTATTTGATTTGCAAAACTCTATAAAATATAATGTTTAAATTATTAATAATATTGCCTTATGAATAATCATGCTTAGTAAAATTCTTATACAAAATCACTGCAATTATTCTTATAAAAAGTTATACAGAATAGTTAAAATTATTTCATCATACATATATTATTCTATTCTCTTTAACAATGTACAACATGCAATTTTTTTTTTTTTTTTTAATGCACGTGGCTTTAATAATTATGCAAACATATTAAATTCATTCGAATCGGATTTAAGAATGACAACATTAAAATCTATTTATTATAGTAATTAAATACATGCAAAATATTGACTATTTTCAAAAGCGAAATACACATTTATATCTTATATCTTAGAAGAATAACGGTTAGATTTCTTTTTTAATTACACTTTAAACATTATAGGAGAAATATAAATATAAAACATGTTTAATGAAAACATTTATGAAAATATTTTTTATCATACAAATTTAAAATAAAGAAAAAAAAATTAAAACAAAATAAATAAATTTATATTAGTGTACGAATATTGTCGAATATCAATATCAATACGATATAAATGAGTAATTAATATACGAATATATATAAATTAAATATGTAAATAAATGTTTTGCCTCCACTCTTTAATTTAATTATTTTAAGTAATTATTGATAGTTAATATTAAAAATAATATAAAATAAAAGGCATTACAAAATATATATATATAATATTTTAATCATAAATAAAAGAAGTTTTTTAATTATCATTGAGGCACTTAATAATTTAATTATAATACTTTTAATTTCCTTTTGATATTTTAATCAGATTTATTTATTCAAATTGTAATTATTTTAATAATACATTTATATACGTTTCGTAATATATATATATATATATATATAAAGAGCCATACAATAATTTCATACTGAATTTAATAACAAATTTTTAAAGTCGAAAAACTGTTTACTATTGAAATAGACGTAATTTTAATAATGACACATAAAGAAAAAATTGTCATAAAACTACCTTTGTACATAATTTTATATATTATAAATAGATAGAATATATTTTATTTTAACTATATGTGTGTATGTGTATAAATTGAAGATACTTAATCATATCATAGTAATTTTATTTGAAAAGATATTTGAATTTTAATGAATTTATGATAATTTATCTTCAGTTTAGTATTAAATAATTCATGTCAATTTGATTTAATTTTGTAATTAATAGTAGATTGTAAAGTACATTATTTTGCAAAATATGAGAGAAGATAGATTTTGCTAAATATTAATAATAAAGATAAAGAATGTACATATTTTTACAAAGTATTAACAAATTTTTTTTGGGATTGTAATGTCGTTACAAATTTAAACAATGATATATATAATTTATTATGTATGTATTGCAATTCAATATGATGAATAATAAGAAATTATAATAGAATAGAATAGAAAAAGAAGAAAGAAAAGAAACGATTAAGTTTTTATTCATTTTTCATAATGATAGTACAAATTCTTTTAAGTTAACACGATATGTTTTTCGAATTACCGACATAGTTTATTAACAAAAACGATTACTTTTTATAATTTCATTTTAAAATAACTTTTATTATTTATTTTTATTACAAGTATTGTTAATTTCTTTTATTTTATAACATTGTTATTAATTGTTTTTAAATGGTTGTGTAAATATTAAATTTTGTATTGCGACAAGCAAATAAAACTTGTAAGAATGGATATTCTTTTATTTTCAATGATTGAAAATGTTATTAAATAATAATGCCTTTTTCATTTTATTGTTAAAGGAATTCAATATCGAGTAAACCCAAATTATTATTTCCCTTTTTTTTCCCCCTATCAAACATAAAGAATATTGAATTAATTAATTGCAATCGATTTGAAAATGAAATAACTGCATGTATGTAAAAAGAATTGTTGAAAAAAAATTTTTTCCAATTGAAATTAGAAGTAGTTTAAAGCTTATCAAATTTAGAAGAATGAACAATAATTAAAACCATTCAAATAAAAAAAATGACATTGAGAAATTCACTTCATTTAACTTTTGAGTATAAGATAATGTTTTTAATACTCTGTAATACTCGTGATATTTCTTTTGTTTACAAATTAGTGAGTTATGCTTGAATCTTAAAAAATCATATACAGTCAATATTGGTATAGGCGTTAGCTAAGCTCGTCGAATATTTCAAAATATTTTCACTTAAAAATGATGGGCCATTACATAGTTTTCTGAATATTCAGATACGCAAGATAAGTGAGATAAGTAATATAAAGAATATCATATGATATTCATCATTGATCGGTAGATTCTATGCATTTTCTGCTCGGCTTTACTATATTCGTCGAAGGACAGATTTTTCGGTTTTACTGTGCACTGCAATTATCTTTCAGTAACTTATAAAATACGAATATATTTTTCTAACTATCGTCATTGAGAATATTACACAATAGCTATTCATTAAAAAATGTTAATTTAGGTTTTAGCGATAAATTCGTATTGGTTGAACTACTCCGGTTGAGACTATTCATACAAACAATTCGTCATTAAGAGAATCACATCGTCTTTTTGTATTATTGAATATCGAGATAATGTATGACTTTGATTAGGCGACGTAAATATATCGTGTATATAACAGTGTACAAGAAACAAGATAATGTGCCCAGACTTATTGACGTAATCCGGTCGATTTCGTTCAGAAGATGAAGTACAATCACGGAAACCACTATC